GCAACATGCCATCGCGAAGGCTCTGCGATGGTTCCGCTAAAGAAAATTTGTTTGCGAACTATTATTGCGATGGTGTTATTGCTGATTATGCGTACTACTCCTACAACTGCTGCTACCACTATTGCCACTATTATTACTACTACTACTACTACTACTACGTGCTAGGACAACAGTGTTACTGCTAGTGCTTATGCTCTTACTCGTGCTCGTGCTAGTGCTACTATGTGCTAGTGCCAGCATTGCTTCTGCTACTGCTATTGTTACTACTACCCCTACCACTACTATTTTTTGTTATTACTTATATATATATATATGCATATGCAACTACAGTACATCACGCAGCAGGCTCCAGGCAGATGCCAATGGCGCGAACATATCCGTGAACTTTGTTCATTTACTTATGGAGTTTGCTGCTTGCTTACTTTTTGTTCAGGAAGATGATCGAGATACTGAGATAAGATAGACACGTAGGCAATCGAGAAACAGGGATAGATAAACTCATAGACGGTTTGATAGATGGATAGATGGACAGCTAGATAGGTAGATTGATTGACCGATAGAAAGAGCGATAGATAGGTAGGCAGGCAGACACGCAGACGGACAGACACACAGATAGACAGGTTTATAGATGAAAAGATAGATGGAACAAAGAGAGGTAGACAGACGAACAGACAGATAGATAGTTAGTTGGTTAGATAGATAGGTTGGTTGAATGGGAGAGGTGGGTAGGCAGGTAGGTAGGTAGATCGACAGGTAGATTGACATGCAAACCTACATTGCCTGTATGTATACGCATACATACATGCATAAGCATGCATACATCTGCGTGCCCGTGGAAGCTTTCCCAGTGCACTCCCTGGCCTCCCAGGCGCCCGGTTCTACTGCTGCGGCGAAGCAGAAGGCCTAAACCCTAAACCCTAAAGGCGTGTGTCTACAGATTGACAGCTTGGGATTTTCACAGCGCTGAAAGCTCTGAGCTTCAGGCCTGTATTGTCGGAAACTTGTTTCTCAGTCTTTCAGACCATTGCATGGGGCTCAATAAATTCCCGAAACTAACCCAAACGGTGGCCGTCGAGGCCATGAGACTCCGTGACCCTAAACCCCAAAACCCTAAACCTCAAAACCCTAAACCTAGTCCCTCTGTGGTTAACCCAGTCCATGTTATGGGATCCTAATTGAACTGTTGGTTGCTCAACAACGGAACGACAAGGGAGACGAGAGGTAGTCAAAAGCCGGGAGCCTTCAAGACCTGCCGGGTTAGGGCCTCATTATTTTCCGTCATAGTTATGGTTCCCAAAAATCTTCTTTCATTTATTGATTAAGGCCCCTGCAGCCCCTGCATTCTATGTCTCTTCTCTAGATCCCATAAAAGAGCCCTTCTTAAGGAACCCTTTAAAGGGCGCCCTGCTCCGAAATTTTAGCGCTGTCAGGCCTCCAGCCCACGTGACACGCGGTCTGCGAAGCTCAAGGACGGTTAAGGGTTTCATTGTATGAACGGTTCAGTGGTTTCTGGGATCAAGGGTTTATGGGTTGAGGGCATTTAACAGTTCAGGGGTTGAAGTTGATGGTACTCGGGGTTTAGGGGTTCATGGCATCAAGCTGGCTAGCCGTTCTTGCCTGTCCTTCCGGGACTGTCCTTGCTACAACATCTGTGCTGCCCAGTGCAATCTTCTTTCACAGTTTGGAGTGGTTGTCCTGCTGGTTTCCACGCTTTTTGCCGAGCGCTAGGTGGAGGCGCGCCTGCTAGCACCAACCTGCCTTATCCAGGTGCTCAAAGTTTATGTCAACAAGACATGAAGCATCGTTCGTCCGATGTGGAACAGACATGGGTAATGCACAGGCCTTGTAGCAGCTTCAGTGTGGAGGGAAAGCGATGACGTATAGATACATGCCGGTTGGATTCCGACAGGCTGCCGCAGGAATCATTAGTACCCTGACCCCAAACCCGAAGCCAATTCTTGCCGCCTGCTCATGTGGCTCAGCTACGTAGAGGCAGGCCAAAGAAGCCTGCTTCGCAGCCTGCAACGAATCTTGTGGGGCACTTGGCCCCACTTGCATTCCTGCAGAACGTAGGGAAGGAACTTGATGTCGAGTCGCTAAATCCTGTTCCGATCACCGGCGCACTCAGCACTCATGACCCCAAAGAAGCTTACTTCCATTTTCGGGCAAAGAGTCAAAGAGCGTCTACACCATATTCTAAACACGACGAGAAACGAGCACTGAACCCGGCATGGCATTGTTGTATTTCCAAGCGAGTTTGAGATGGCCAGAATCCAGAATGTCGCTTAAGGTGGGGTCATGCTTTTGGGATAACTTATTCAGGTGTTCTTGCACTTATGAACCTACTTTGAGGGGGTGTTGATGTGTTCTGTGCGGTTCAAGGCTTGGGGATTTAGGTCTGAGGGTCGGAGCTCTGATGCAGCATGCGGCCTTCTCAAACCTTGCCGACATCGCGGCGGCTTACCAGAAGGAACACGAGGCGCTCGTCTCAAAGGGGGAGTTCAGGGAACCGACAGCGAGCCGTAAAGAAACCCAGAAGCCATGGCAAAAGGGAGGAGGGCTCATGAGATATTTAGGGTTTAGGGTTTGGGGTTTAGGGCGTATTCTGCCAAGCAGCCACTCGAGGGACTTCGCAAGCTCTTCAGGCATGCAGCTTCACCCTCCAGCCAAAGCCGCAGACCCCAGAACTCAAAGCCTCAGCGCTCCACCCCCAGCCCTTATCCTTATCAGTTTCACCCGAAACCCTAAACCCTACAATCTGCCACACCCAAAATTCCACGACCCTCAACTGCCAAGTGCTTGAGGCCAACAGGGCCAGAGAGCCTCCAAACGGACAGGAGTGTCAAAGACTCGGCTAGATGCTATAGGGCCCTTAATAGAAAAACCTATACTAAGTGGGGGTTCCTGATTCTAAGTATAGTATAATATATCCCAAAACCCGATTCTACTGTCGAAGCTTTCTTAGACGAATAGCTCATGAGCAGCTATACATTCTCCAGATGCACAAGCCATCTAAAGCCTCGTTCGCTTCAGACGTCTGTCTGCTCCACCCCAAACCCCAAAACCCGATTCTAATTCTTAAGGCCCCTACATTGAAAGCTTCGAGCGCGTGTTCGTAGTTGTAGCTGGCTGGCTAGGTACATACTGGAACTGCAAGTAGCAGTGAACAAACTGCAGTGATTTGATTTGGCGTGGCTTCGTTCTCCAACCGACACGTAGACCCCGTCCGCCAACCCTGAACTCCAAAGCCCCGACCGTAAGTCCCAACAACGCACCCTAAACCCTCAAAGCGAAGCCTTACTTGGAGGATCATGGGACTTAGTAAGTCAGGTTCCTTGAAGAGTTCCTTAAAGGGAGATTTATAGTGCTTCTATAAGAAAATCTATAAGGAGGATCATGGGACCTAGTAAGTAGGGTATAAGTACCCTAGTTGGGGTTATGTCTATACTCACCCTACAATAATAACACAGTTACTACGTCCCATGACCCTTCAAGTATACACACCCCCAAGACAACACCATGATAGAAGCCTTGCGTGTTCGGCGGCATTCCTCAGAATCTAAACCCCCTTCCTCAGTCCTGGGAGGACGCGGAGATGGTGCGGAAGTGTTTGCCCGCCCGCATCGATGCCCTTCTGCCACAGGCAGGTTTCTAAATCCTAAACCCAAGCCCCCATTTGGGTCACAGTAGAAGCCAGAAAGTTGGAGCATCACTCTCCTCATGCCCTTAAGGTAAAGTATGGGAATCCCAGCACTAATCATCCTAATCCCAGACCTTAACTTGGGGTAGAGTCTCCAGAATGAAGTTTTGGACTTCTTTGATCGGAAATCCGCGACAAGGCAGCTGAAAACCACGACATCCTGAACCTTCAGAGCCCCTAAGCCCCAACGACTGCCAAACCCTGAAACGCCTGCAACCCGAAACCTGCATGGAAACCCTAGGAGGCGCCTATGCTCATAAACCTCGAAAGCCCGAGCCTACCTCCTGGAGTAGGGACATAAGAGGGGTCTTTACAAAAGTACGGCCTGAGAGCCCCAACCTTATCCCTTAAAGGATCATGGGACTTAGTAGATAGGGTTTTTCTCAGGGTAATTATACTTATATCGACTTACAATGCCAATTAGGGTACTTATAATCTCACTTACTAAGTCCCATGATCCTCCAAGTAAACCACGCCAGAGGAGTTGGCTTTGTGCTTTGAGCACGAGCTGTGGCAGATGGTGCACCAGGCGCCGATCTCGGGCTTCATGGTTTGACTGGGTTTCGGGGTTTAGGGCCTCGGGTTTAGGGGTTTAGGGTCTCGGGTTTAGGGTTTGGGGTCTCGGGTTTAGGGGTTTCGGGGTTAGGGCCTAGGATACGGATTAGGCATGCAGGAGACTTTAGGTTTTGCTTGCTGAGTTTCGGGCTTTCGGGATTTCAGGGGAATTAGAGCTTTGAGTGCGAGGCGTTTTGGGCCTAAACCCTAAACCCTAAACGTCCCGCAGCTTTCCATCCCCGATCAATCACCTAGTAGTAGAGTAGGGAGCCTTTAACCTTTTCTTGGGTAGTATAGTCCCTATATAATCTCTATATAACCAAAAAGGTTAACCTTTGGTTCCCCATGATACCCGACAAGTAGGATCACTTCTACTTGCATGCAGTCCTGAAGCTCCTCCCGTCTGCAGATGGCCTTGCGAGGTGGAGGTGACTTCAGCCGAAGTCTGACAGCGAATCAAGACTGAATCGCAAGGTCAGCAAGCAACATCTACTTCCCATGAAACCTAAGCCAATCTTGTGGTTCAATACTCCTGAGTTATTTCACCTCTGTGTGCGTGTATCAATGTGAGGTACACATCTGATTTTCACATATAGACATCATATATTTCATCTTTGCAAAGGGCCTAAATTCCAGTATAAGACGTACAAGTAATGACTGAAACATATAAATAAAGGGCCCGAATTGCGTATCAGATGTGCAAACAATGAACCTGGAGGTCGCAGCATGCGCAGCTGCTCAGCCCATGGCAGCAGCAAGGCGTGCGCTGCGCCTTGCTCTGGGCTGCGTCGCTTGGAAGCTGAACCCTAAACCCTCAACACCGTAAACCCCTAGACTCAAAACCCTACAACACACGTGACACAAATGTCTTGCATATGGCCCGGTCGCAGTATACCAAGATGTATGTGGCGATTCTATACACGGTACACACGGGAGAACAGGTTCCGGAATGGAGTAATCAGAAGTCATCTGTCGGGGTTTGTGCTTGTCCACCCTTGGGGGCCTGTGAACTCTCGCACGATTGGTCTCGGCACCCTCAATAGCTATAGTGGCAATCTGTCTCCTTAACAAATCACACGCACACTGTGGAACCTTGCACTTGGTACTGCAGGTAAGTTGTCTAGACTAGACTCTCTCTGAAGCAAGATAAAGCCTTCTGAAGCATAGTGCGAAGCCGCGACGGGCAGTTAAAATGCCAGCTGACCTTCCCTTGTTCAACCTGTAAGTCAGCCCTCAGGGTTCCTCATTATCCCTCCACCCCGCGGCCAACCTGTTCAAATTGTTGCGCCCACTAATAATGTTACAGAACCCCGGTATCGACCTTGTACCCTTAACCTTGAAGGGAAACTTTTTACTAGCTGCCAGCTACTAGTTTCTAGCATACGACCCTCAACACCAGAAATCCGAAACCTCACCCTCAATCCTTGAATCCTAACCCTATCCCTCCAAGGACCCCATAGTTAGGGCCCTCGACCCCTTAAGGACACCATAATCAGGTCCCTGGAGGCATAGGAAATCCTAAACCCTAAATCCTTGAATCCTAAACCCTAAACCCTAAATCGCTGAATCCTAAACCCTGCACCCTAAATCCCTGAATCCTAAACCCTGCACCCTGATCCCGAAACCCCAAAGCCGTGAGGTGCTCGACGCCTCGGAGGGGTTCGAGGCGCGGCTCCGAGCCCGGGCGGCGGCGCCCTGGCGAAAACTGTCTGCGGGTTTGGGGCTTTACAGGAGAAGCCGGAAAGTTGGAACATCGTTATCCTCATGCCCTTAAGGTAAAGTAGAGGGAATTCTAGCACGAATCATCCTAAAACCATGTTCCAACTTTCTGGGGTTCACTGTAGGGGTTTAGGATTAGGGGTTTGGGGTTTGGGGGTTAAGGGGCTTAGGGTTTAGGGTTTAGGTTTTGGGGCTTTAGGGGTTTTAGGGTTTAGGATTAGGGGTTGAGGCGTTTAGGGGTTAGGGGCTTAGGGTTTAGGGGTCTTCAGCGGTTGAGGCATTGACCTGAGGAGTTCAGGGCTTGAGCTTGAGGGGCTTAGAGTTCCTTTAAAGGCTCCTTCCTATAAAGGGATATACAGGGATCCTTTAAAGGGATCTTCAGGTAAGGGTTCAGGGTTTAGGATTTAGGGTTTAGGGTTTAGGGGTATAGGGTTTAGGGTATAGGGGTTAGTGGTTTAGGGGTTCAGGGTTTAGGGTTTTGAGGTTTAGGGTCCAGGTTGAAACAGGACCCCACAAAGGCCCTTTGATAGAGCCCTTATGATTGGGGTATTTGGGGTATACTAGACGGTAGTCGGGGGGTTTAAGTAATTGCGATGACTATTCCTAGGGTTCCGCAGTATCATGGAATCAAGAAAACCCCAAAGCTCTCTTCTAATGGTTGAGGCCCAAACGTTAAAAGGTACGTGTAGGCAGGGTTTATACAGAACGTGGGGTTTGTAATAGAAGGTCGAGGGTTCCCAAAAAAGCTGCATGGTAATCCTCGGGTTAGGGTGTTGGGTGTCGGGCTTCGGGTTTAATTAGGGTAATTCGAGCTTAGAACCCTGAACCTCTAAACCCCAAACCCTAAACCTTGAGACAAATACCGAACAAGTAGTGCAAAAATTGCAAAACACTGGGTGTGCAAAAACCCAGGCCCCAGGACAGTCCCTTCTGCAACCTTAAGCCTTAAACTCCGAATCCTACCAAGACCCCTCAACTACCGTCTAGTATACCCCAAATACCCACGATTAAGGGCCGTAAGGGCTCCATTAAAGGGCCATTGGAAGGTCCTGGTAAATTCCAAGCCCCAAGCCCTTAACCTTAAGCCTTAAACTGCAAACCCTAAGTTTCCAATCCTTAAACCCTTAACCCCAAACCCCAACACCCTATAGATCCCTTAAAGGAACTCTTGAGGATCCCTTATAGATCCCTTTAAAGGGCTTCTAGCCCTTAACCCAGGTTGCCTCGGCTACTGGCACGGCGACCCTGGACGAGACAAATCGAAGTGAGCTCCAAGGCGATGAGCGACGGTAGGTCCTTCTGTTGATGATATAAATCCTGCATTACCTTAAGGACCCTAAACTATGAGAACTATTATGATATATTTCTGATTATGGGTCATGCAGGATTTATATCATCAACCGTTCCAGAGTTCCTTGAAGGGACAGGTTTATGGTTGAGGGTTTAGGGTTTGGGGACTACTTGGAAGTTCATGGGTAGTTATACATGTATGTGTGTGTTCTAAGTAGGGTAAGTCTAGTACAGCTATACCATGTTTTACTGCATGCTAGGGGACTTACAACCCTTCTATATTGGAACTATCCATGAGCCCCCAAGTAGGCCCTTCCAGAGTTCCTTGAGATGTTGGGATCCAGGAATTTAGGGAGTTTGGGGTGTGAAGTTTTGAGGTTTGGGTTAGGGTTGTGAAGGTAGCTGTCCAGTTATGATGTCCTGACTTGCCTGCGTAGTTTCCTGGGCATGCACGTTCGGTCTGGAGGTTTATGTGGGGTTTAGGAAAGAGGTCTCCGGAATTTGTAACCAGGCACGGGGTCTGCAAAGCTCTGAAAGAAGCCCAATGCAGAAGTCCCTAACTCTCAGTGCATCGACCTTATTTTGCTTTCGGCGTGCTGTGATGTGTTGGCCCTAGATCCACAACGTTGCATCCTTGGAGCTTTGGACAACTGTACGTGCTTACATAGAGCCTCTGTGATCTGAGCACAGACGAGCTTGCCCCCTAAATTCACGATCTTGGAAAATACTGTACCTTACCTTTGGTTATGGGCAATGGAAGAATGCTAGCAATAGTAGTTATATTTGTACCCCATTCCTCCATTCCCTACTAACCAAAGGTAAGTTACTTCAGCCCCTTTGTCGAGATCGCCCAATTCTCCGCGTGAAGCTGTACTTCGCGAGATCCTCCAACCTTGGACACCCAAGCCTGAAGTGCCAACACCAGAACCCTATTCTCCTCTCGCCACCCTTTGAACTCCAAGAAGGACTAAACCCACAAACCCTAAACTGCGAAGGTCGTAACCCAAACTCCGAACCCGAGAGCCGAAAGCATAAGTGCTTATCCCCTCGACGCCAACCCAAATCTCGAACCCCAGCCTTAAGCCCCACCTTAACCCCGAATAACCTACCTTTTCAAGGACTTACATAAAGAAATCATAGTAAGGAACCCCAAAAAGGTGGTAGGTTATTCAGGGTTAAGGCAGAAGCATCAACCATAAACCCTGCACAAAAGCATTGACCCGACCAGCCCCAGCCCTGAATTCCCATACTACACAATCCTCGGCCCCAAAACCTGCGCCCGAAGATCAAAGCCAACTCAACCCTAAACTCCTAAACCCTAAATCCCTAAAACCCTAGAACCCTAAAAGCCCTAAAGCCCTGAAACCCTAAAGCCCTACATAAAGCCCCAAAAAACACCCTAAAAGCCCGAAAGATTTGAAAACCCCTAGAGCCGCAAAGCCCTAAAAGCCCTCAAGCCCTAAGCCCCTGAACCCTAAAGATCCCTTTAAAGGATCCCTTGTAGATCCCTTTATAGGACCCGTTAAAGGAACCCTAAGCCCCTCAAGCCTAAACTCCTAAACCCTCAATAAACCCTACAGATCCCTTTGAAGGATCCGTTTATAGGATCCCTTCATAGGAGCCTTTATAGGATCCCTTATTGGGACCCTTTAAAGGAACCCTGAGCCCCTCAAGCTCAGAAGACCTCCTCAGGTCAATGCCTCAACCCCTAACCCTAAACCCTCGGAAAGGATCCCTTTCAAGGATCCCTTTATAGGATCCCTGTAGAGAAGAAGCCAGAAAGTTGGAACATCATTATCCTCATGCCCTTAAAGTAAAGTATAAGGGATCCTAGCACTAATCCTCCTAAACCCATGTTCCAACTTTCTGGTTCCTACTGTATAGGAGCCCTTTATAGGATCCCTGTATAGAAGGAACTTCAAGGCTTGGTGACCTCCTCAGGTCATTTCTCGGCCGAGCTCGGTGAGCTGCTGGCGGCCGCGCTGCCGAGGTTTCGGATCCGAAGAGACAGGGGCTTAGGGGTTCGGGGGTTTAGGGGTTTGGGGGTTTAGGGCTTAGGGGTTCGGGGGTTTAGGGTTTGGGGGTTTAGGGGTTTAGGGTTTAGGGATTTAGTCGTGTAGATTTTTGGGCTCAGGGTTTAAGATTTTCGAGCTCAGGGTTAGAGTGTAGGGTTTAGGTTTTAAGGTTCATGGTTTAGGGTTGAGGATGTAGGGCAAAAATGGTTAGGGGGCTTAAGGGTTTAAGATTTAAGGCTTCAGGGTTTGGAGTTTAGGCATCCAGGGTTTAAGAGTTAGGATGTAGGGTTTAGATATGTTTAGATTGTAGTACAGCTTTTAAGATTTACACAGGATGTAGGGTTTAGAGTGTAGGGTTCAGGTCAGGGTCCAAGATTTCGGATATTAAGATGTAGGGTTTACGGTTTATAGGTAGTTTAGGCTTCAATAGACAGGCTATGTCGATGATCGCTCTGGTGGCTGAGGCCCAATCGCACGCAGAAGACCCCCGAGAAATTCAGGTTATCTTGTTTCTGCAAAGTTGTAGAATCCTTGCCATAAACTTGGTTAACGAACAAAGGAGTCATAATAGACTAATAGCGTTTAGCAGCCTCAATAATTGCCAGCATTATTCTTTAGGTTTCTTTACATTTTTTATAGTATGATATGCCATCAAGCCCTATTCTCATTGTCTTTGGGTTGGCGATTTAGCGTTTGAGGGCTCCGCGCGTGCACTTCTGAAGGCTTGCCGCAATTGCCACTGCCGCCGAGACCGTTGCTGGGGAGGCTGCGCGGCATCTTCGGCGATCTGGAAAGCAAGCAAGTAAGCCGTGGGTTTAGAAGCTCTAAGTCTGCATGGCTTTGAGGCATTAGGGCTTTAGAGTTTAAGGTTTAGGGCTTATAAAGGAATCCTCGATGCTCAGGAGCACCTCAAACCTTCGAACTCGGTGCACTACCTTAACCTACCATAACCTACTTTTGTGTAGGTTCTTAGTATTATAAGCCCTACTAGGAAATTTATAGGGACCTTGGAAGAAAAGTAGGTTCTCTGGTGAGTTGAGATAGATCTCTTCATGCAGACCTTGTGCGGTCGACAAAGGTTTGCGATGAGGTTGGGAAGTGCCGCATCTTAGCTATCGCTCCGATTACAACAACAACAACAACAACAACAACAACAACAACAACAACAACAACAACAACAACAACAACAACAACAACAACAACAACAACAACAACAACAACAACAACAACAACACAAACAACACCAACAAAACCAACAACACCAACAACAACAACAACAACAACAACAACAACAACAACAACAACAACAACAACAACAACAACAACAACAACAACAACAACAACAACAACAACAACAACAACAACAACAACAACCAACAACAACAACAACAACAACAACAACAACAACAACAACAACAACAACAACAACAACAACAACAGCAGCAGCAGCAGCAACAACAACAACAGCAGCAGGAGCAGCAGCAGCAGCAGCAGCAGCAGCAGCACCAACAACAACAGCAACAACAACAACAACATCAAATACAAACAAAAATTGAAGCCAATGACAAAAATCACAAAAACACACTAACACACGCGTTTTGCCTGAGAAAGCTATGTTGAAGTATCAACCCTCAAAGCCCTGAGCCCCGGGTCCCTCAGCTCTAATCCGGAGGAGTAGTTGGGTTTCTGACAACAAGCCGTTTGTCATGGGCCCTGCAATCCCTTCATTAACCTTAGAAGGGGCCCCCACCTTGTAATAGTGGTATAATAGGAATATAATAGGGCCCTAATATAATCCTTATAGTCACTCTTGCAAGGGGGGGCAGCTTCTAACATTTACCTTCGACCCTGCAAACCCAACGGCCCTAAATCCACAGCCGTAGATCCCAAACCCGCAATCCGAGATATGCAGATCCCAGATTGAACAACAAATTCAAGGTGTGTGCTTGAAGCCTGGGAATCCGTCATGATGTGCAAGACGCAGATTACGGATCTCTACATGGACACTTCCCTGCAGTCTTCGGCTGGAGTGTTCCGGGGTTTGCGATTAGGCGGTTCAAAGTTTTAGGGTGCAGGGTGACTTGGCGTTGAGGGTCTTGTTTAGGATCTACGGTAAGCCCCATAAAGTTGGAAACCGGGTTAAGGCCAAATAGTGCTGGGATTCCCTATACATCACCCCCAAGGATTGAGGCTATGAGGTTTCCAACTTTTGGGCTTCTACTGTATGCGGTGGGGGCTCCTATCAGTCTTTCGGTCGATGACTTGCATTCGCTGTTGTGCCTGGGGCCCAGGTTTTGGCAACAAAGAGCTGTAGACTCCAGGCGGCAAATCCAAAAGCACGAACCCTTAAGAGCTTAATCGTTCCACCCTACCTGCGACCCCAAGCCCTGCAAAATAGTAGGTTATGACCCTCTAACTAGAGGATAGAAACCTTAAAACGGTAGGTTCTTGGATCCCCAGGTAATGTCTTTATTGCAAATATAGTATAATGGGCCCCAAAGCCCTCCTCTAGTTCTCAAAGCCCCTCTGGTTATAGTACCCTTATAGAGGAACCCTATTGTAATTATTAAGGCCCCTATATTATGGAAGATGCCCAAGAAGCCTGAGAGCATGGCCAGGATAACGACGAGCTGTCAGCGAGACGGCAACAAGAGCTCTTGGAGGACCCAGCTGGGCCCTTCTTTTACCTGGGTTTGGAGTATCATGCTTGAATACGTTTTTTTGGTACCTGTTCCTTAAAGGAACCATTATGAAATAAATGTCTATACTTTTTTCTCCCTGGTTACCTCAAAGTCCAGTTTAGGGTTCCTTCAAAGGGTAAGGGATGTATAGTAGGGTTCTATAGTGTAAGGGCCTTAATGAATAGAATAGAGTTTTGGGGGTTCCTTCCTAAGAGTTGAGGGGTTTAGGGTTTACCTGGGCCCTGAAGAACCTACCTTTTTAGGGTCCCTTGTTATAACTTCCTTATATAAGTCCTTCAAAAGGTAGGTTATTTCCGGTTAAGGCAGAGACTACGGTTGATGATATAAATCCTGCATTACCTTAAGGACCCTAAACTGTGAGAACTATGGTATATTCCTTATTATGGGTCATGCAGGATTTATATCATCAACCGTAAGACAGAGGTTTAGGGCTCAGGGTTTGGAGAAGACAGGGTTTTGTCAGGGGTTACAGGAGTTTGCAGTAGAGGGCTTCACAAGATGGTTGTAGTATTCCTGTCTTAAGTAATAGGCCCTCAATTGAGGAGGTCTCCCTGATGTGGTCTACCGGTATGGGAGTTTCCGAAAGTAGGGGATGCTAGTATAGTACCGTAAGTAGTAGGATCCTTATTATAAGGACCCCCAAAATAAGGTACCCCTAGTGTTCGGAAACGCTAAACCCTAAACCCTTTATAGAACCCTTATAGATCCCTTTAAGGAACCCTTGTAGATCCTTTTTAAGGATGTGGTCTACCGGTATATGGTCAAGGCTGCAGGGCTTGGTGGGTAAGGTGCAGCTGTGCTCAAGAAACCCTACTTAAACGGCTAGGGTTTAGGGTTTAGGTGAATTCGCCGTCAGTCAGACCCGTGATCGACTCGAAACTATAGACCTTTAAAGCTTAAACTCCAGACAAAACCTGCACACAGACACCCCGCAACCTGGAAAGCGACCTTCGACTTCAACCCCCTGCTGCCCTGCAGCCCAGACCTTGCAGAGGCCGGCCACTCTCTGTCCGAATAGCCTGTAGCCGAAAAGATCTACCTTTTTAGGGTTCCTTATCTTTTGGGCCACAGGTGGGGTTTAGGGTCAGCAAGCTCCTTAATTCGGCCCTGCATTATGTTAGTTAGTTACTTGTACTATACTACAGGCCGAATAAGACCCTACGAAAACCCTATTCTAATTCTTAGGGTCCCGATATGAAGCACAAAAATAGACAGCCTGTTCGAACTTTATAACGTCCCTGCATTACACCCCCGGGCCCCGAACTGCCACAGTCTCCAAAAAGGAGGCGGCCCAACTTCTAGACCGTTCGGAGGGCGCTGTGGACGTGGCCGATGCTGGGCTCAAGGAGGTTTGTGGTTTCTGATAGTTACTGTATCTATGCTTCCATTATCTGTATGGGTGTATAATATGTATATGTATATGGTATATATGCATTTATGGCTGTCTGTATACATTATGTATATACACACACCTGTACGTATGTATGGATTATTTGTTAGTTTATTGTGCACGCCATGACTCATGTTCACGTGTATGTGTGTGTGTAATATATATATATATATATATATATATACATAACACATACAGAAAACATACGTGTGCACACAAGCAAAAGCACTGGGAGTATGTGCTGTCTGGCCGGCATCTGTAACATGGTTCGTCGGCATCAGTCGGAAAGGTTCAGCTGGGGAAAGCGCAGCATCCCAAACCCTGCCTGGCGTGTCATACCCAACCCTGTTTTGGGTACCTAGTTTTATGGCTAGAGAGGATCTGCTACATAGAGACTAGGTTCCTTAATAAAGGGCTAGGATGTGACCATGGGTAGATCCTATTTAAATAAGTGGGTAGGTTCCCGAAGAAAGGGCAGGACCATATAGCCCTATATAGGTAGAGATCCTATGCAAGTCCCACATCTTCGACCCACAATCTCCACGCCTTCAAGCTCCAGGCCCTGCATCCAAAAACCCAAACCCCTAGACCTAATCTTGCTGTCACCAAAAGACACGAGGGCTCAACAAAGAAAGAAAGACCAAAGCCGCATTCTGAGCCCCAACGCCTACAGCACCGACCTCAACTCTGATACTCTGAACTTGCAATTCTTCATGAGCAATCAAGCATCATGACCCTTCAGTACCTATCTTAACTGGTAATAAGTCAAACTTTAAATGGGCTGCGTTTTGCAACTTTTCGTTCACCGACGGGGGCGAGCCAGAAGGGGGCGAGCCAGAACTTGACACCCGAATGCTAAGTCGGTTATAAATAGGGTCATAATCAGGGTAACTCCATTTAGGGTACTTATAACCCTACTTATAACCTACTTACTAAGTCCCCTGGGTCGCTAAGTAAACCCTAAACTCATAGGAGGCCAAAAGGGGTTTCAGCCTATGGGGGCTTAGTAGGGATTAGGGTTCCCATAATAGGGTTCATATTAAAGAATCCATACCCCAAGAATCTTAAACCCCCTTTTGGCCTCCCATCATAAACCCTAAACCGACTGCCCTTCCCTGAAAACGACGCGAGGAAACCGATCTGGCTTCCGTTTGCACCTTCCTGCCGCTATGTGAAAGTGAGGGTTGGGGCTGAGGGTTCAGGTGCTCAGGTTCCAGGCTTGACAGCTTTTGGTTCTGGATGTTTAGTGTTTAGGGTCGTAGGGTGGAGGGATTCTGGCCTTAGGGCTTCATGCTTCAGGTTCATGTTTTTTGGCTTTGGTTTTTTGAAATCACGGTTTAAGGGTCCGTTTGGGGTTCAGGGTTTTAGGGTCTAAGGGTTCAGGGCTTAGCATTTAGGTCTGTAGGGTTTGGGGATTTCAAGTTGAGGTTGCACGGTGTTTGGGCCTTTCAGGGCTTAGGGCCCACATAGTGCAGCCGCATTAGTCTTCGTCGGCGTCGTCTCCGAGGTTTCTTGCAGTGGGGGTGCGGGGTCTTTGGGGCTCAGATGGACCTGGACGCAGGGGCTCGGAGTTGACATGGCAGGTCGAAGATCATCCTTAGTGCCGTCATCGAGATCATCATCATCGTCATCACCATCATCAGTGTCATCATCTTCATCTTCATGATGATCGTCATCATCCGGTCCTAGATCCTCCAGGCATATGTTTCTCTGCGCTGTCATGGTCGCATGAGCGTAGTTTAGCTCCGCTGCTGTGCTCGCGACACTGAAAAATTCGGGACATAACCGACATCACTACGCCTTTAAGCGCCGGGCGATCCAAGAGACTCCAATATCCCTTGATAAAGGAATATACCTTAACTTAGGATCCCTACTCTAATATAATTTAAAGTGAATTCCTTAGTTCAGGGATCTTGCAGTCTCTGAAAAATCCACGGCTGGGTCGGGTCTTGCTCGGCCGCTAGACTATACACTGAATCAGAAACCCTTAAGGGCAAAAGCACGTGGATCCTAAACATGGCCCCCCAAGAGTCCAATTCCAATGCCGATTAAGTAAGAGAAGGAATGGGTACCCAGAGACTCCAAAATCCTTTAATTAGCGACTCTACCTTAAATCATATTAGTGAACCTATTGCAATTTAAATTATACCTTAACCCTGAATACCCTACCTTTTTAGGATTCCTTACTAATTATGATTTCCTTATATAAGTCCTTAAAAAGGTAGGTTACTCAGGGTTAGGGTATATTCCCTAGTTGATTGCGTTCTCTGTGGCTTTGCGAATGCAGAAGCGCCGAGGAAAGATGCGTCAAAGTGCCAGTCGCCGGAGGCTGGGGTCTGAGTTTCCCTAGGTCCAAGGGTAATATAGGAGCCGAAATATTTCCCAATACTATTCTGGAGATCCTCATTATGTAGTATTAAGGCCAGTATATTACCCGTCTGATTAAAGGGTTTTCTTCATTTGTCACGTGGCAGGCCAGAAGATATGACCAGATGTTGAGCGGTTTTGGTCGGCATTTCACACGTGACTCTTGTGGCCTGCAGCATGATTCTCGGAGCACCCCGCAAGAGGGCGGGGGGGGGGGAGAAGGCTGTCGTGAATCAAGCTGGGAGTCTGTGGAGAAGCTTGCTGAGACCTTCAGGAATTTACCTTAGATCATATCAGGGATCCTACTATTACTTGAATGTATATTCCTTGAATAAGAGATTTTGGAGTCTGTGGGAATAGCGTCTACATGACCTAGACCCCCCCAAAATACCTTAAATACCCGCGATCAAGGACCATAAGTCTCCATTAAAGGGTACTTGGGGGGTTCTTGTGGCCCTGTTGGCACCCTAAACCAAAAACCCTAAATAGGGATATCCCTTATAATGAAGCCCAGTAAGGTAGGGATATCCCTTTAAAGTGCTTATGCTTATGTCCTTGTTCGGGCCCCTATCAACCCAAGGCAGATGTTCAGAGTCGCTTTTCGCACTCTCAGCGATCCGAGGAATGCTCAAACACATCACGCCCTCTCTCAGACCTCCTCGAACCCTTGACCCTAAACCCGTACACCCTAAACCCGAACCGGAACCCTAGACCCCTAAACCCTCAGTCCCAAAACCCTTAAACCCTAAACCCCTAAACCCTAAACCCCTTGAACCCTAAACCCCTAAAACCGTAAACCCTACGAGCCCTAGAGGGCCCCATCTCTGGGACAATCTCATGAGTGCAAAGCTCTGAAAGGCGGAGGGGCCGCTGAAAACCATCCTCCTCTACTTGCGCCGGCATGCTTCCGGGTGCCCGCGGCTGTCATTTAAGGCTCTGGGTTTTTCCGATTTATAAAGGGTCTATAGGGATTTAGGAGAGCATGGCCGTCCAAAAGCGTTTTTTTTTAGTCCAGAGCCCCACAGTCGCTCGGTTTTACGTGCCTGGCTCAGCGTCCATCTCCATCTCGGTTGATCTTTTGCGGGTTCCCGCACCATATTGCCTAGAGGGTCCATGCACACGACCACTCTGGAATCAAGTCCAAAAGATCATTGTTATTATGGCTTTAGGGTCCCATATCCATAATTAGTAGTATATAATGTAGGAACCTGACTAAGAAACCCTGGGCCTTTCACCCCAAATCAGTAGGATTCATATAAGGAACCCTAATAAATCAGGTTCCTACATTCTGGACCCTTCAGGTTGAGAATCATCAGATTATGTTTCTGATTTGTTTCGGCTTCAGCCTGGTGCCTTGGTGCTTGGCGTGTTACTTACTTGGCGGTTCATGGGTAGCTAGAAGTAGGGTTATAAGTTTTAAGTCCCCTAATCTGGGCTATAGCTACATTTTGTCCTTATAAACCCTTAACCCTAAACCCTAAATATCCCCACTTATAACAAAGAGTTGTGGAGGGGCACACCAATATAAACTTCGAAGCCCGACGTCTTGGAGGGTCGAGCCACCCAGGCGTTTCAGACCTCGAAAACAAGCAAGCCCTGGAAGCTTAAATGGAGATTACCGAGGGGGTCATACCCTACCCCTGTTAAGGGTACCTATGTTGTTGGTTAGGACCTGTTATATACAAATTTAGGTATCCACCCGGAGCCCTAAACCTACTTAAAGGATCATGGGACTTAGTAACTAGGGTTATTATTAGGGTAACTATACTTATAACCCCAAGTATGGTACTTATAACCCTACTTACTAAGTCCCATGAACCTCCTTATAGAACTAACTCTTATAGAAACCCCATATTTCCCTTGTAGGGCCCATTAAGGAACCCTTAAAGGAACTTTACTTACTAAGTCTCATGATCCTCCTTATAGAACTAACTCTTATCGAAGCCCTCTAAATCCCTTATAGACACACGTAAGGAACCCTTAAAGGAACCTTACTCACTTACTAAGTCCCATGATCCTCCAAGTAAGCCCTTTCTTGCCCTAAACCCTAAACCCTAAATGCCCTAAACCCCTAAACCCTAAATTCTAAACCCTTAATAAAGCAATATACGTTAAATGATCAGGGGCTTCATATTGTGATTTAAGCTATATTCCTTGATTGAGGGGTATTGGGCTCTCTGGGTACCGAGGACCGCTGCTCGTCTTTTGGCCGCAGCGGGCGGCGACGCTGCCCAGGCACAGCGGGCGGCGCGGCGGATTCAGCGCGCCTGGAAGCGTACCGTGGATGAGGGCTTTTGGTTTGGGCATTTTTACGGATAGGTCGGTGTGGTGTACGAAAATGAGCACAACGCTCTTCTCATAAGGACCCTCATTAGAAGGTGGCTGAATCTAGAGAAGCCTAGCTGGTGTGTTCGGATTTCAAGGACTCTGCGGTTCAAGTAGCTTTTGTTTCTCTGCGGTTCAAGTAGCTTTTGTTTCCGGATGGTTTGCAAGGCAAGTGTTTGAGCATATAAAGTTCCTGGGAATCTGCGCAGTTCGCTTCGATTTCATTGTTCCAGTTGGACACAAGGGTTGTTTGCATGCCAATCCCTTCCAAAGGGTCCTTGTTTTCGTGAGCTCGTATGAAAACACTGCTGATACCTTCAGGGAAACCTCATTTGAGAGTTTTGCGTTTTTAGTAGAAGTCCGGAGTAGCTCCGAAGGCTTTGAAGCGGCAGAAGCGCATCACGCAGATTGTCCCTAAACCGCACGCAAGGGAATTACAAGCTTCAACGACAATCTTCCACAGGAAACCTGCATTCTAAACCTACCCGAAGCCCTGAACTCCGTCTGGAAATCTTTTCGGTATATTCTACCCGGGATTCTACCCAAATGCTCAGTAAGCTCTGAAGCTTCAAACCCTTTGGCCCGAAATCCAAAGTTCCCGGACTCTACAACCCACATCAATAAATCGAAACCCTAAAGCCGTACTTGTGGACATCCCTCAACGTGCTGCAAGGGTGGGATGAAGGTGGGGGTAGCCCCAAAAGAAAAGTCTTTACATAAGGGATTTTTAATCCCACCTACCTTCATCCCGCCTTTTGAGGCCTACCCTAAACTAAACTATATAGATCCCTTAAAGGAACCCTAGGTATTCCTTAATTAAGGGATATTTGTAGCCTCTGGTCATCCCAACTTGGAGGTTCATGGGTAGTCAAAAGTGGGGTTATAAATAGGATAACTAGAGTGATAACCCATATTAGGAGACTTATAACCCTACTTATAACTACCAAAGAACCTCCAAGAAGGCCCTAAACCCTATACCCTTAAAGGGACCCTTATTCCGTAACTAAGGGATATCCTTAGCCTCTGGTCATCCCAAGGCTACCAAGAACGTTCGGCGCCAGAGCCGCTAAGCCCATTGGGCCTCGGTCGGACGCCGCCACTGCATTGCAGCCAGGGGTTTGGCGGGGGTATCCTTTAAGGGCTCCTTAAAGGAATCTATAAAGGGTTTAGGCTTCAGGGAGGTTTCGGATTTGGGGTTTAGGTTTTAGGGTTTATGTAGGGTTTAGGTTTTGGGGCTTGTAGGGTTTATGGTTTAGGTTTGGGGTTTTGGGTTTAGGGTTTGGGTGGAGGGTTTAATCAACATAGGGAGCGGAATGGCTACCAGCATTATTCCTGGGGATCCTTTTCCTATCGAAATTGTACCGTGCCCCCAAGTCGCGCTCTGATTATTTAAAGGCACCGTTATGTTAGCGGCTTAGGGTATATCGGACATTCATTGTCTGTAACGTTTCAACTTTGGGGTTCTTATGAGGTAATCGATTCCGACAGTTTCAACTTTAATTTCCTTGGGTTTTGTGCCAGTGAGGATATGCGATTTAGGGTGCAGCGTTCAGGGCTTGGTTCGCTTCTCAGGGCCCCTAAGCCTGTAAGCTCAAAGCAGTTTGGGTGCAGGGCCCCTAGACTAGACCCAAAGCCCTAGCCCGATTTAGGAATTTAGGGTTCAGGGCGTGATTTCCAAAAAAAAGGAGTTCAGCGTGTAGGTTACGGGTTCTTCGAAAGCTCCGAAGAAAGCTCTGATCGTATACTAAACGATTGCCTGAGGGGCTCCAGTCACCCGACCAATGGTTTTACTGGGTCACATAATGTTATATGGGACCTTGGTTTGGGGTCCTGATAATAAGGATCCTTGCTCTTAGGGTGCTTTATTAGGGTCCCCTCTTTTCGGACACTCTCATATAGCTAGATGTGGCTAGTAACTAACCTGCTGTTTCTTTTATAGCTGGAGCCCTAGGGGAAAAGGCGTGGAGGAGTTGACGGTTCGAGGCTGAGAGCATCGCCAGAGCCTCCAACATCCCTTCATTAAGGATTATACCTTAAATGGGCTGTAGTGGCTTTGTGGATGTTCCCAGAAACTCCCATATCCCTTCATTAAGGAATATACCTTCAATAATAGCAGGAGCCCTAGTAATATGAAGTCAGGTATACTCCTTAATTCAGGGATAGTGGAGTCTCTCGGATTCTGAACCCGGGACTCGGGCTTCACGGCACAGAATCATGCTCAGTGCCAAAGAACCCGAAACTGTAAACTCGATACGGGGGTTTCCGAAAATAGGGGACCCTAATCTAGTACCTAAATAGTAGGATCCTTATTAAAAGGACCCCAAAATAAGGTACCCCCCTATTTTCTGAAACCCCCATATAGGCTCTTCAAAGGTGTGAGTTAAGTGTAGGCCTGAATCAGCTTCCCACCTGTAGGGATACCTATAGTCTCCATTGTACGGTTGATGATGATACAAATCCTGCATGACCCCTAATAAGCAATGTACCATAATTCTCAAAGTTTTGGGTCCTTAGGGGAATGCAGGATTTATATAATCAACAGTACCTATAGTCTCCATTGTAGTTCCTTAGGTTCCTACCAGGTAACCTTAAAAAGGAACTAATTACAAGAGTTTAGGGTATATGGTTTTCTATCAGGTAACCCTAGAAAGGAATACAATGGAGAGACAATAGGTACTGGTTACTAGGGCTTCGGCTTGTTGGTTTTGGGCTTGGGTGCCCGAAGTTCTAAACCCTGAACAACTACGGCCCCCATAGTACCCCTTTGCCGGTTTATATGGGGGTTTAGTATTATAGGAAAAGCAGGATTAAGAGACCGCTAAGCAAACCCAGCCGAGCTCAAAGCATCAAGGAAATGCCTGGGTCCCGGGCGCACTGTTCGTGACAGCAGAAGTTGCCAAGAAGCAGTTTAGGGGTTAGGGCTTCAACCTTAAGCCCTCCACCCCCAGATGTGTTTCCTTCTGATCTTCGCTAGGACGCAAGAATCTGCGAGGATAGTTTGTGTTCTAGAATCAGTGGCTTCAGGTCTTCTGTTGATTCCTTTCGTTGCCTATGGCGGAGGAGTTGCTATGTGTTCGCGTGAAGGGAGCAAAGGTCGGTGGTTGGATGGTTCGGGAGTGCGGATCAGGGTCACGGCATGATTTGTGTTTTCGAGGCCCCCTTCAAGGTTTCGGGTCATTTTTTAGGATTTAGCATAGGGTAGAGGATTTGCGGAGATACTCGCAGTGTAATTATCAAGAATGATCTTTGTATGAGCCTTGTGAGATTAACGTCTTAACGTCTTCGGCAGCATCACGATTGAAAGCAAAGCTGAAGTCCTAAACCCCCCACTGAAGATGCCAAGCAAATGCCAGATCCCGAACCGATGTTCGCCGTGGTTGGTGCAGCATAGACCCGACAGCCCCACAGCATGAAGCTTGAAAAGAAGTTTTATCTGATGGAAGGTTGTGGTAGGACCTCCTGGCGGTGGTCTCGCTGTGAGCTTCGACCGCAACAAGGGGATCAGGAGTCTTGATGTAGGACCGAGCAGTAGGGTTTAGTCTTCAGGCTTCGGGGTCCCGCATTAAAATAGGAATCTAGAGGTTGAAGGGCCGTTGAGGTTAGGGTTTCGAGCTCCAGAGTTGTGGTGTGAGTTCGGGTTTTCCGGCTTACGCCGTCAGGAGTTCACGGTTCACCTAGAAGGTTTGGGCTTTGGGCCAGGGATTTAGAGAATTCCAATGTTGAGTTAGGGCATGTTAAACCCTAATTCCTAAACCCTGTCAGGATTCGGGTCTGGGGCAGCTTCAGGTGTGGATTTGGAAGTCCGTGGTTGTAGGTTTCCCAAAGGCTCAAATATCCCTTACTTAAGGAATACATTTTACATCGCATCAAGGATCCTACTACAAGTTAATGTATATTCCTTCATTAAGGGATGTTGGAGCCTCTGGGTTCAGGATTGTCTAGCAGGTTCAGCAGAAAGAGAGTAGTTTCGGGAATCAGGATACCCGTCATTGTTCATGGTGAAGCGATGCTTCCAACTATGATTATGGGTTCCCTCGTTTCTGGACCTGGTCTTTTTCAAGAACCTTGAAGGCCAGAACTTGACCCTATAACTATACACATCCTAAACTTGGCCCCGGAACCCAAAAGCTCTATTCCTCAGCTGAACCCCGAAAACTGAACGCTGTACACCCCAAACCTGACCATAAAACCTATAAGCGCTATAAAGGAAACTCCAGAAAGTTGGAATATGGTTTCATGGTAGGATACCCTATAATTTACCATAGAAGGGTTAGGATAATCATATTCCAACTTTCTGGCTTTTGCCTTACGTCCTTAGGATTCCCGACTCTAGAATCCAACAGCTTTTCGGTCCTCAACATGGGCCTAAATCCGAGCCCTAAGGGTCCAAGTACTCCCTATTGTAGGACTTTGGGTCCATTTTGGGTACCAGAAACCCTTATATAAGCACTATTTGGACCCTTAGGACTTTGGGTCCATTTTGGGTACCGAAAACCCATAAATAAGAAGTATTTGGACCCTTAGGAAAAACTTTGACGTGCATCTCAGGAAAGGGTCTCTTGCTTCCTGCCGGGAGCGACTGCACGGACGCCGGGAGCCCTCAGTGCCTGGGAGCAGCATGGTGGGTTTAGGTGGTTTTAGGGTTCAGGGTTTAGAGTTTAGGTGTGTTTAGGTGCAGGGTTTTTGGTGGGTTTAGGATTTTGGTTTGGGATTTAAATTTCTTGGCTTTCAGGCCATGATCAACTTTGGTCAGGAAATGTGATTTTGAGATTTCGGCTGAAGGCTTTGACCTGGTTGTTGACAAGCGTTCGGTATGCTGCGTTCCCCTTGAAGACAACTGTCGTTTGTAGACTTAGTTCTTCAGAAGGCAAGCCGATCATAGTTGGCAGTCTTCAACGTGGCTTCAAGCATTGCAGCATAAACCACCCACCTTGCAGTGGAACTGAGTCTTCCCCCTCCCCTTCTCGACATCTCTCTCCCTCCCTCCTCCCTCGCTCTCCCTCCATCCTCCCTCCTTCCATCCCTTTCTCTTTCATTATCTTTCTTTCTTTTGTTGTTCTGTCTTTATTGCTTTCTTTCTCTCTCTCCCTCTCTCTCTTTCTCTCTTTCGCTCTTTGAGCTCACAATCTAGATCCCGGATCCGTTCCCTCCCCTTCCTTGAGGCATCCACCTGCTTCGGCAGGGCTCGGAGCTCCTGGCGCAACTCCCCGAGATGCCTCCCATGGATGCGGTCACGCAGCCCCCTGGAGTCTTTAACGAGGGGTTTAGGGTTTAGGGGGTTTAGGGTTTTAGGCTTAGGGGGTTTGGGGGTTTAGGGTCTAGGGGGTTTGGGGGTTTAGGGCCTCGGAGTGTAGAGTTTAGGACTTTGGGTTTAGGGTTTGGGGGGTTGGAGGTTTAGGGCTTTGGAGTGTAGAGTTTAGGGATGTCTTTAGCAAGGGCTTTGGGGTCTAGGGGGTTGGAGGTTTAGCGCCTCGGAGTGGAGAGTTTAGGGATTGGGCTTCGAGAGTTTACAGTTTATTATAAAGCAGGAAGAGGACGGAGAGGACATTGGGGGGGGTTTTGGGTAACCCTGCGCCCTACCAGCAGGTATGAACCACTGCCGATTCCAAGCATCAAGGCATGGGAAGCTCTTGTTGCTGTGGAATTGGGCTTTATGGTCAAAGCCTGCTCGATGCTACTCTAGCAGCCCAGCCACTATAGCTGGTTACCGGGTCATGGTACTATAAGGTGTGGCGAGCATCTAAGGAACGGTAGCCTACTATACAGGTATCTGGGCTCGTTGGCGCACGTTGCTGTGAGAGTGTCGACAGGGCTGCGGGGAGATTGAGCACGTAAGGCCTCCTCGGTTGTACCGTTCAAGGCAACTCGCAGGTCGGGTATGTGGTGTGGGAACAGCCTGGGTCAGCTTAAACATCTTCTTAGTCGGCCAGAGCCTCCATGAGCCCAGAAAGGAACCCTAATTACCCTTAAAGGAAGCCTTAAAGAGATCCCTTAGAGGGCCCTTAAGGGGATCCTTCGAGGGACCCTTAATGTAACCTTTGAAGGGACCCCTAAAACAAAACCTTTAAAGGAACCACAGCCCAGGTTCCAGCGCAACTGCATGGCTTTGGATTCGGCAATGGTACCCGTCTCTGGCGCCGCGGCGGTGGCCTTTTGGTCCCTTGCCCAGGGTTTGCTGCGTTCTGGAGCACCATACTTTGTTCCTTTTGAAGGTGCTACATATATCATAGGAGGCCAAAAGGGGTTTTGGCATATGGGGGTTTAGTAGGGATTAGGGTTCCCATAATAGGGTTCATATTGAAAGAATCCCTACCCCAAGAATCTTAAACCCCCCTTTTGGCCTCCCATCAGTTCCTTGTGAAGGTACTACATATAGTATAGGGGGCCTTTGGGGTTCCAGAGTGCCATGCTTTCGTGTCTTTTGTGGACCTCTTCCGTAAAGGAAATACTATGAAACAGAAGTGTATGTTTTTCTCCATGGCACAGTTGGCGCGACATGGAAAACTTTACACCCGTATTCAAAATCTTAAACCTATACTCAGTACCTGAAACCTCTGTATTCCAATACCTCTAAGCTATACTGAGAATCCTGAACCTTAAACTCTATGCAGAAGCCCTAGGGTTCAAAAGACCTGACAATTAGGTATCGGGGTTTGTGATAGTCGTTTTCTAGGTTAGTCTTTGGTAGAGTATATTATATATATATATATATATATGGATGGATGGTATTGTATATGTATATATATATATATATATATATGTATATGATGATATGGTACATGGAACTGTAGGCAAAGAAATTGCAGCGCCCAGGCTGAACGTCAGGAACCTCGTGGTTGTCCTTGCTTTGCTACTCGACATGAGTTTGGGTCGCGGGGAGGCGGCAGGGTTGGAATCCAACCATCTGGAGCGTCAAACCTCGAAAACCACTCAAACCCCAAACAAACATGCCACCTGTTCCCTTTAGCTCAGTGCTTCCGTCTTGAAACTGCAGTTTCACCGCAGAGATCACGCATGAGTTTTGGTTGTGTCAGGGCGCCTCCGCTCGAACGATAAGTTGAGGATAACAGTGCTTGCAGCACGAGGTTTCGGATCATTGAACTCTACCTCTACCCCAGTTACCGATCGTGAGCTGACCCTCTGTTAAGAGCCCTTGATATTCTGAGATTGCCACAAACGTCAAACTTTAGAGAACTGATCAAACCATGTAAACCACAAAACAAACACTCTGAAATCCTCTGTAAACCGAAAAAAACTTGTATTCACATCCCTAAACCCCTTAACCCCTCAACCCCTACATCCTAAACCCTTACCCTTAAACACCTTATACAAATCAAAGGGCCCCATGCTCGAGCGCCCTCGAGGCTGCAGCAGGCGGCAAGGCCTGGGGGGAATCTTCCCTCTTCCGCGGAGGCTCCCGCGGTTGAGGGTTTCGGGTTTGAGGGTTTGGGTGTTTAGGGGTTGTTTACAGGCTTTTGGGGATCTGTCCGGACCATGAAGGTGGCTTTTCATGCAACCCCGGCGCAACAGGCCCGACGACTCAAGACTCCAGCCCAAACCCTCCCAAAGAAAGTCGACGGTTTAGGGTTTAGGGTTCAGGGCGACCAGCCTCAGCAGTCTAGCTGAGGATAGTGGACCATTAAGCCTATGCACTCTAGATCTCAAACCTGGAACCCCAAGCATGCAGCTAGTACCAAGAGACTCCAATATCCCCTAATCAGACCTGAAATCATATGAGGGATCCTTCTATAATTTAAGGTATATTCCTTGATGTTGGAGTTTCTGGGCACCCTGCGAGGAGTGGGCGACCTGTTTGGGCTGCGCCTCCCTGTTCGTGATGGGCCGGTCTCTTGCACGAGGTTTAGGGCAGCAGGGTTTAGGGTTTTAGGGTTTAGGGCTTAGGGTTTAGGGTTTAGGGGCTTTCCGGGCCCATAGTACTTAGCCGTTGTGGGGTTTGGAGCTTGCGGGTTTGGAGTTTGGGGCTGAGGGTCTAGGGATCGAAGGACTCAGGGTTTAGTGACAGGGTGTTCGGCTTTTTCCTGCAGAGGTGTGGGTTGATTCTGCCTTGGTTTGGACTTTGGGCAGATAGATAGATAGGTAGATCGATATATAGGTTTAACGTAGGTAGATAGGTAGATGGATAGATAGAGGATGATAGAGGTACGTGGACCCAGTGCCCCAGTATTTAGGGTTTCAGGTTCCACCCTAAACCCTGAACCCCTAAACCCCTAAACCCCTAAACCCTGAACCCCTAAACCCCTAAACCCCAAAACCCTAAACCCCCAAACCCTTAAACCCTAAACCCTAAACCCCTAAACCCCAAACCCTCAACCCCTAAATCATAAGGAATCCGCTGTCTGATGGACCGAGGCCGCTCTCGGCTCAGGACATCGACCACCATGTCCTTGGCTTGGGCTCGCACTCTCCGTCCCTTTGGCTGGGCTTCGGGTTCGGTGTTTTAGGGTTAGGGTTTTGGGGTTGAGGGTTTAGGGGTTTAGGGGTTCAGGATTTTAGGGTTTAGGGAAAGGGTTTAGGGTTTAGGGGTTTAGGGGTTTTAGGTTCAGGGTTTTAGGGTTAGGGTTTAGGGGTTTCGGGTTTGGAGCTTAGGGTTTAGAGGTTCAAGTTAAGGGTTCAAGGCTTACGGTGCTGCATCAGCGAATCAACTCTTAGAGCTCGACACAACTAAACTCAGATCAGCTCTTGGGTCCCCAGAGAGCCCAATATCCCTTAATGAAGGAATATTGCTTAAATTATCGGGGCCTTAATATTATGATTTAAGGTATATTCCTTAATTAAGGGGTATTGGGCTCTTGGGTCTAGGAGACGTTGTGGGCTTTGTCTGCTGGTTCGGACACAATACCTCACGGGAGTGCGGCAGATTTAGAGCCCCTCAAAGATCCCTTAAATACCATCTAGATAGACCCTTAAAGGTTATGAAGGCCCCTACATCATTCATTCTTTTTTATAGTACCCTTATAGTAACCCCGACAGTGACCCTTACAGGACCTTTGAAAGGAGTCACTTAAATAGAACCCCTCAAGGACCCCTTCAATACCATCTAGATAGGCCCTTAATTAAAGGAACCCTTAGAACCCCTCAAAGACCCCTTAAATACCATCTAAAGAGACCCTTAAAGGTTTGTAAGGCCCCTACATCATATATATATATATATATATGTATATGTGTATATATATATATATATATATATAGATATGTATAGAAATAGATATAGATAGATAGTACCCTTATAGTATCCCCTACAGTGACCCTTACAGGACCCTTTGAAAGGAACCCTTAAAGTCACTGAGGCTTGCCATGGGGTCAAGGCAGAGCCTCAGGAGTTTGCGGGGCGAGCAGTGCAGCGTTGCCGGCCATGTTCAAGGCCCGACCCGTACCCAGAGACTTGAATCCTGACTTTATGCCCAGGGACCGCACACCCTAAAATTTAAAACCCTGATAACACATGTTGAAGCCCAGCATCTGTTCCCAAACCCTGAGCCCTGAGGCCCCACATCCCTGAATTCAGCACCCCGAGCCCTAAACCACTGTGACGAACCCTTGTACCAGTAGTAACCCTCTGACGAACCGTTAAGGAAGCCTTATAGGAACTCGTATAGAACCACCCTAAACCCTAAACCCCTGAACCCCTAAACCCTAAATGCCCTAAACCCCTAAACCCTAAAACCCCCAACCCTAAATGCCCTAAACCCCTAAACCCTAAACCCTAAACCCTGAATGACCTAAACCCCTAAACCCTTCAATTTGAATCCCTAAGCCCCAGCCCTAAGCCCTTTCTTGCACTTGTAGAAACCCTATAAATCCCCCTGTAAGGAGCCCTTAATTGAAGCTTGCTTACTAAGTTACTAAGTCCCATGATCCTCCAAGTAAGCCCTTTCTTACAGGCCTCATGCCCTAAACCCCTAAACCCTAAAACCCCTAAACCCCAAAACCCCTACATAACACCTAAACCCTAAGCCCTTTCTTGCAGGCCTCATGCCCTAAACCCCTAAACCCTAAAACCCTAGACCCCAAAACCCCTAACCCCCCAACCCTAAGGCCCAAAACCCTAAACCCCAAACCCCAAAACCCCCTAACACCTAAGCCCTTTCTTGAAGGCTTCATGCCCTAAACCCTTAAACCTTAAACCCCTAAACCCCTAAACCCCAAACCCCCAAACCCTAAAACCCCAAACCCCACCTAAACCCTAAACCCCTAACACCTAACCCGTTCTTGCAGGCCTCATGCCCTTGTAGAAACCCTCTGTAAGGAGCCCTTAATGGAACCTTACTTACTAAGTCCCATGATCTAAACCCCAAGGCCCTTTCTTGCAGGACTCATGCCTTGGCCTAAACCCTTAAACCCCTAAACCCCTAAACCCTAAACCCCTAACACCTAACCCGTTCTTTGCAGGCCTCATGCCTTGGCCCGTCTTCGGCCTCTGGCTACCGGTTTGCTTCGGCCTCCCCGAGCTCCGCGCTTTCGAGTCGGAGCCGCGCCGAGGGCTCTGGGCCTGCGAGTTGCTTTCGGCTTTAGGATGCTTTAGGGATTTAGGGGTTTAGGGGTTTGGGGTTTAGGAGTTTAGGGAGTTTAGGGGGTTTAGGGGGTTTAGGGGGTTTAGGGTTTAGGGGTTTAGGGTTTGCTGTTGTTTTTAAGCCTCATGGCTTTGAGGGCTGATTCTGCAGCCGGTTTTGGGCATCGGTTGAAGGCTTGCCTGTGGGCTTTAGCTCGGTAACTTTCTTTTCGCTGTTGCACTGAGGGCTGCTTTGAGGCTTCGAAGCTTCATTGTCCTAGGGTATCTTAGGGTCGACCTGGACCCCCAAAGTATGTAGAAGAATAGCCTTAGATAGGAGTTGGGCCATTAACTATTCTACCTGCCTACTTTTGAGAGTTTAGGCAGGGTTCAGGGTTTGTCTTGCTTCCCGGGTTTGAGTTTTTGCCGGCATGCACGGTTGGTTTAGGGCTTAGAGGCTCTGCGCGTTCAACGTGTGAAGGCTTTTACTTCGGGGTTGGGGGGAATCATGTTTCGGGGACAGTCTTGCCGAATGGGAGGACGTTCGTGGTGACTCTCACCGTTTTTAAGATTTTCAGGAATCTTCAGATGGGCGTGGTCTAGGCGGCTGGGGCTCTGGTGTCCGGCTTCAAACCTACCCAGAAAGCCTAAATCCCTGGAGTTGAGGGAAACTATATAAGAGGAAATACCCACATATTCCCGTAAGTACAGAGTATTGGCATTTCGGGGCACGTGGCCGAATGAAGGCACTAGCCCTAAAACCCTTATGACCCCTAGTAAAATACAGCCTTGAAATTACGGTTGATGGTATAAATCCTGCATACCCATAATAAGGAATATACCATAATCCCCATAGTTTAGGGTCCTTAAGGTAGTGCAGGATTTATATCATCAGCCGTAGAACCCTGAATTAAAAGCCCTTAAAAACCCCAGACCCTAAGCCAAATGCAGGAGATCCTTCTGGCTCAGCTGCGCTCCAGTGCTGAGCGTGACTTTGCCTAAGGCTCCATGTACCCATATGGGATATAACTTAGGCCTTAAAGTACCTATATAGGGACTACTTTGGGGCTTAAGTATCTACTATAACGGTACATTTAGCCTTTGACTTTGCTTGCATGTGAGCACATCTACCCAGACCCCCGGGAGGATCTAGAAAGTAGCTCCCCTAATTTGGGGCTCTTTACTACTAAGGGTACTGTATAGGAACCCCCATTAAGGGACCTGCTTTTTGGATCCTTCCGGTGGTCTGGATACGCAATTCGGGTTGCCCGGGGGGGGGGTTGGGCGCCGAAATCTCTGCTCAACTTCTGCGATTACCTGACAAAGCTTGAAACTGCTCCCCCTGTGTTTCGATGATGGAAAGGCGAAAGACTGGTCTTTAGCAAGTGGGTTCTTAGTCGGGACTGTGGTGCTCATAATTGCGGAGCTTTAGGATCCTGAACCCCAGAAAACCTACCTTTTAGGGGTTTCTTAGTTGTTTGTTATGATTCTGTTGATGGACAAAATCCGGCATTACCCATTATAAGGAATATACCATAGTTGCCATAGTTTAGAGTCATTAGGGTCATGCAGGATTTTGTACATCAACAGTTTCACTTAAAGTATGTCCTTAAAATGGTAGAATCGTCTGAGACTGAGGCCTCGTTGATCGCTGCAAATGTGTGGCAGAGGCCCCGCAAAAGGCGGATCAACACCATTGCGGTTTGGGGATTAGGGCTTAGGGGCTTAGGGGTTTAGAGTTTGAGGGTTTAGGGCTTAGGGGTGTAGGGGTTTGGAGCTTAAGGGTTTAGAGTTTAGGGGTTTGGAGTTTAAGGGTTTAGGGCTTAGGGTCATCGGGTTTGCCAACCAAGAGGCTCAGCCAGGGTCCAGGGTGCCTTGCATTCGGGGCAAAGAGGACTTGAAGAACTTCAATGCGAGTCATAATCATGCTGGAAGTGCACAGCCATGAAATTCAAGATTGAGTGTCAGGCTAAAATCATGTACCAACTATTCCGCCCCTAGGCCCTGACACAGTACAGCGACCAGAAGAACAGGTGTGCACAAGACTTGTTCCAAAGCCAACGGTGACACACAGACACACACACACACACAAACACACACACACACACACACACACACACACACACACTCATCGGAGGCCTCAAAAGGTGGGATTAAGGTAGGTAGGATGAAGGACCCCTTATTTAAGGGCTCTTAATTGGGAAGATCCCAACTGCCTTCCTCCCACCTTTCGAGCCCTTTGAACTCACCGGTGAGTGCAAGTCGGAAACTCTCCACGAACGCAATGCTTTTACACAGACATCGGAGCCCTGTCGAAGGCGGGGTACCCGTGCAGCAACATGCTGCGCCTGCCGCCCATTCTGCGGCTGTCCTGCGCCGTCTGGCAGCCCCTCCTGAAGCTGTGGCATTTCAGTATAAGCCTTAATTAATTAATTAATATAGCAGGGGCCTTAATAATTAATTTCCATTAATTACTATTTTGGGAGGGTTTCCTTATCGTAGTATAGTATAAACGCCCCAAAACCCTATTCTAATTATTAAGGCCCCTATATCAAGCATCCTAAAGAGTCCAAAACTGGTAGGTTGCCCAGAAGATCGTGTTCTTACTTGGAGGATCATGGGACTTAATAAGTAAGGTTATAAGTACCCTAATTGGGGGTATAAGTATGTTTACCCTAATAACAACCCCAGTTACTAGGTCCCATGATCCTTTAAGTATGGTGTTTGGACCGGCTGGTTCTACAAGGCCAACGAACTGGTGAGTATAAACCCGGTGGGCAATCGGCATACCGGAAATGCTTCTGACCGAGAGAGGTGCAAGTCTGGGTAGGATTTGTGGTTGAGGGCTTATTGTGTAGAAGGCTTGTGGCGTCATGCTTGGAGGTTCATGGGTAGTTGTAAGTAGGGTAATAAGTTCCCTAATCTGGGTCATATTCATACTTCTCTTACTTATACCCCACTTACAACTACCCTAAAACCCTAAACCCTAATAACTACCCATGAACTTCGAAGTGGAGAGAAGGTGTCTTTACAGGCTCGTGGAGCAGGAAAGCTCACTTGGTCCGAAACTTGATCAGAGTAGTACCCATAAGGGGTTCCTTAAGGGGCTCCTTATAGGGTTCTGTAAGGGATCTATGGGAGTTTAGGGTCTGCTAGGTTCCTGAGTAGTACCCTGTTGCCCTTTTTCTTTGAGGGTCTTTTTTGTTAAATCCGACAGGAAAAAGGGCACCTTTGACAGGGGGGACTCAGAAACCTAGAAAATCTTGCGAATCAGGGGGCGGGGGAAATTCAAGCATGCCTTCTAAGTCGGCTGGCATTTCGCACCATGGCGAGCTGAGGAAATGCCGGGGCTCCCATGCGCTGTCCACTGAGCTTTGCGAGATTGATTGGAAGTTTGCGCCCACGAGCACACAAATCCACTCATCGGATGCCTAGTTGCCTAGCCTTGCCGCTCATGCGAGCGCGAGAAAAATGAGTGTTGGCACGGCTTTGGGTGCTCTGGGTTCCTAAGTTCAATATCCACTGCACCATCGAATCTGTATGCGTACAACCGTAGAAGTGCATGGGTGCACATTCTAGTTCCTTCGAATGCACAGCACATGTAAGCCTAGGGTTTACAGGGAAAAAAAGTCACTGAGGGTGTCAGCCTTGGGTGATCTGCTTTCTCAAACTGTATCCTAGGATGCCCAGTAGTACCCTTATTCCCTTGTTGTAGTCCTAGGTTCCTTATAAAGTTACCCAATACCAAGAAGAGAGGCCTTTTTATTCTTAGGTTACTGGGTTTCCTAGTATCGTCCAAAATGGACAGGGAGGCCCAGCTGAAAAGCACTCCTTGAGCTCGCTGCTTTCGTGCAGATCGGAGTCAACAGTCTGCGATTTCCACGTGTATGACAAGTCAAGCCCTGATCCAAGCACTCATGGGAAATCGTAGAGTAACAGAGGACCTTCTCCGCGCTGTTAGCCTTAAACTTCAAGCTCTAAAGCCTAACAACGCAATTCCTATCCTGCACTCAGCCCTAAACCCGAACCCCAAACCGCACGTCCTTTTAGGCAGTGCCTTTCCCTGCCACCAAGCAATCCTTGGTACGTAGTATCAGGGAGGCCCCCTAAAGCGAATCCTTCTGAACCCTACTTCTGGCTCTCTTAAAAGGGACCTTATTGGGAGGTATAAATATCCCCAAGGGTCCCCTCAATCCTAACTCCTAAACAAAGCATCCCTAGCGTCGCGTTGAGTTAGAGATATCGTGACCCAGACCCCCGGAAAAATCTAGAAAGTAGATCTCCTAATTTGGGACCCTATACTACTAGGGGTACCTGATCGGAATCCCCAGTGAGGGATCTACTTTTTGGATCCTCCCAGGAGGAGCTCCATGAGTCCATGAAGGCAAAGGACTTTGAGGGCAGGGGAATGCTTGTTTTTTTTTTCGGGTTTGGGGCTTAGGGTTTAGGGTTTAGGTTTAGGGGAGGGTTTAGGGATTAGGGTTTAGGGTTTGGGGCTTATAGGGATGATGGTGCAGGGTATGAGTGCCTCAACCCTAGACCTCTTTTTGCGTCGCACGTGAGTTGCAACAGGTTGGGCTTTGACATGTTTTGACCTCCGTAGCGCATATGGAGTCACAGCAGCCTACATTCCCACCCTCGCTGCGCCCCCTAAACCCTAAACCCTAAACCCTAAACAGTGCAACTGGTGAAATCGGAACGGGTGGCCTTGAATTCGTTACTGTCCTAGACTTTGAAAGCGTGAATAGGCATGTGAAGAATGACTAATTAGCACCAATCCAAGACTGATGAGAGCAAACTAGCTGGTCAGAAAAATGACACGGTGATTGCTTGCGACTCGGAAACAAACCTCCTAAACCTAAGCGTGCAGACCTCAATCTGCCTCAGACCCTCAAATCCTGAATCCCACATGGCCGTCACCACGAAAGAAGGCACAACTGCGGGAAAAGACCGAGAAGGAGGAACTTTACCGTTCCAGGCCTGGTCAAGTTTGACGGCGACTTTGCGGAACTCTACATTAGGGACCCAAAAAGCACATAAGCATAAGCATTTTATGGGGATATCCCTATTTAATGGGCTTCTTTATAAGGGGGTTTATATGGGATATCCCTATCCTAATTTTTGCTTATGTGCTTTTGTGGGGTCCTACTACACCCTACTTAAAGGATCGTGGGACTTACTAACTAGGGTTATTATTAAGACAATTGTACATAGAACTACTTATGACCCCATTTAGGGTACTTCTAACCTTACTTACTAAGTCCCATGATCCTCCAACTTACCCCGATATAGTAGCACCTGCAGTACTCGTAAGCGACCGTATAGTAACCAGTATAGTATAGTACCCTTCCGTAGCCATGATCGTAACCGTAGAATAGTACCCTGTCGTAATCCTGAAAGTAACCTTTGTAGAGTACACTTTACCGCAAAGTAGCCGTTATGGTACCCTTATAAAGCTTTGGCTCTCGGCTCTCAACCCTAATCCCTACACCGAAGCCTAAACCCTATGAGCCCGCCGTGCTTGGCGACTGCGAAACGGGGACAACCCTGCAACAGCAAGCTTGTCCACATAGAATCAGAAGCTTTTCCAGCAATCGCTCCGAAACAAGGAGCGGCGACTGCTTGAGTTTCTGTCGTAAATACTCCGTAATTGGAGGTCTACCTGGTTCTCCAGAATCTCTACTGCAAAAACAGAACCTAAGGCCCCGATGTCTTCTAGCACCAACTTATCCCGTTCAGGATCGAATACCTGCAGCAGCAGATCGATGTGTACAACCAGTACGCAGCCACCACCTCAGCTACAACTGTTTGTGTAAAGTGCAAGCCTCAGGATTTGATCCCAGACTTCTGCAAACTCTAGTCTTAAAGGGAACTCCAGAAAGTTGGAATATGGTTCCAGGGTAGGATACCCTATAATTTACCATAAAGGGTTTTGGATAATCATATTCCAACTTTCTGGCTTTTACTTTAACCCTGTCAGCCCAGCTGTCAAACCGAACGTAGTGAAGACACAACCCTGCAGCGATCCCGGTGGTATCGACTCCTTCTGCGTGGCCTTTCAACAACTGGGAGTTTCCGTCTATTTTGGGGTCCTTACAATGGGGATCCTAGTATTTAGGGTACTATATTAGGGTCCCCTATTTTCGAAAACTCCCAACTTGACGTGGCATTGGTTGCCGTCCTGAGAGGCTTTGGGGCTTCCGGGCATTTAGGGTTTGAGTGGTTGATGAGTTCCTGCGGGCGCGGACAACAATGGCAAGCAGTGCCGTGCTTGCACATGGGTGGTTGTCAAAATTATGGTCCCATTCTGGGTGCTCATGAAAATACGGCACCAAAAAATTAGGGCACCCAAAAGGGGCCATTATTGTTGACAATTAGCCACAGTCTGCAAATCGTATTGGGGCCTTATAGCCCGGCTATTGGGGCACTTGGACCCTTTAGGAGTATGGTTTCGGTTGATGATATAAGTCCTGCATGACCTTAAGGATCCCAAACTATGGGAATTATGGTATATTCCTCACTATGGGTCATGCAGGATTTATATCATCAACCGTTTTCAAGTTTCGCCATACCTCGAACATCCTGAACCATAAGAGGTAAGCCCTGAAGCCCAATTTCAAATCACCAAGCGTAAATCCTGAGCCCTGAACCGTAAACCTGACATCCTACATCCGAAAGCCAAACCCCCAAAACTGACAGTTGACGGGTTGTTTCATAATGCTGTTAGGTAAGTTGGTGTCTGTGGGAAAGTTCCCTACTCACCTCTGAGGCGCGCGCTACGGTCCGCCTTTCGAGCCCACGGATGGCCCCCTCGGGGAAGGGGGGATCTTGATGGGATGTCTGATATCTTTCTAGTGTTGTTGGTGGGGTTCTTGTAGGATTTCTGGTCGTTGGGAGGGTGTTCTGATAGGGGTTGTGTAGCATCGTGCTTTTCAGGGGTGTATTGTGATTCTACGTTTCCCAGTGGAGGGGCATGTTTTTTTTTTAATGGGTGCAGGGATTCGAGATTGCAAGTCAGTTCAGGGCTTGCGGCCATATAAGGAGAAAGCTTTCGAACTTGGGCTTTGGGAAATAACGTGTTTGTCGTAAATTTGATTCCGGTTTCAGGGTGTTCGGTCTTGGCCGAAAGGCGGCTTTGGTTGTCTTCGCATCTGCTCAGCATTGCAGTCCAAATGCTTGCGCTTGCATTTAGTCTAAGCCCTGTGCCTTCTCGATTCACTGTGTAGGCTGCCGTGAATGTCAACCCATTACAAGCACTGGCAGCCCTAAACCCTAAACGGCTAAACCCGTAAACCCCTAAACCCCTAAACCCCTAAAGCCTAAACCCCTAAACCCCTAAATCCCCTAAACCCCGAAACCCCTAATCATCGCAAGCACGACGGAGGCCCCAGCCTCGCCCCGGGACGCGCGGGCGCGGTCTTTGAGGCATTGCTGTTTAGGTTTTAGGGTTTAGGGTGCTTTAGGGGTTTAGGGTTTAGCGCTTTCGGGGTTTAGGGGTTTAGGGTTTAGGGTTTTAAGGTTTAGGGTTTTGTGGGTTTTAGGGTTTAGGCGAGGCATTGCTCGGACCTCTGTTGACGTTCGGGTGTGACTGAAACAGGTTTGCAGCGTAGAATAGCCGTGGTGCACGATGTTTTACAGTGAAAATTTACAGACTACCACAATCACGACGATTTGGGAGTTTCCGAAAATTGGGGGTACCTTATTTTGGGGTCCTTATAATAAGGATCCTCAGTACGAGCCCTTTTTGCCGCACAGCGCTGACACCCCTGCCAGATGTGTTGGTCCAGCCTGCCTTCGCAACAATTTATCACAAAAGAGTTTTAAAAATGTTCCCTTGCTTTCCCTCAAGTGGCAAAGACCTAGCACGTCACACGCCATGCAAAGGTGGGGAGGAACTCGGGAAGACTTCAATTCCCTGTTCTCCTTCTGGAGCATGTGGTCTGTTGCTGATGTTCCTGGTCGTGTACCAGTCTCCTGTTGGTCGCAAGCTTTCGCGCTTTTGATCGCTTGTGGTGGCGATGTTTCCCCGTTTGCTGCCTGTGGCCAATACGTAGGCATGAATATTTACAAGTTTCGGCTTTTGTCTGTAGGACTTCTCAAGACTCAGATTGTTCCGGAGGATTCCCTTGATGATATTTTGAGTCCTTCCGACCACAAAACAAAATGGGTGCTGAACTTTCCTGCTGACACAGCTTTTCCGCAGACCCTTTGGTTTCCGAAAGGCTGGAATCTTCAATCTTCTGCACAGCAATTGATGGTTTTACAATCGCAAATTCAGCTTGAAGCAAATGTTGACGCTCAGGTCATTCGCATCCGTCCCTGTGATTTTATCGATGCCATAGCCAAAAATGGACTTAAGCTTGAAGTTAAAGACCTTGATGCTTCTTGGAGTGTTCCTCGACTTAAAGCAAAAACCGCGATTCCCCCTTGGGTTT